GGTGATTCACTTTGGAAGGAGTTACAGGAATACAGAGTACTGGGCTAATGGTAAGATTCTTGGTAGTGTGGATGAGCAGAAAGATCTCGGAGTCCATGTGCATAGATCACTGAAAGTTGCCACCCAGGTTGATAGCGTTGTTAAGAAGGCGTACAGTATGTTAGGTTTTATTGGTAGAGGGATTGAGTTTCGGAGCCATGAGGTCATGTTGCAGCTGTACCAAACTCTGGTGCGACCGCACTTGGAGTATTGCGTACAGTTCTGGTCACCGCATTATAGGAAGGATTTGGAAGCATTGGAAAGGGTGCAGAGGAGATTTACCAGGCTGTTGCCTGGTATGGAGGGAAGGTCTTATGAGGAAAGGCTGAGGGTCTTGAGGCTGTTTTCGTTAGAGAGAAGAAGGTTAAGAGGTGACTTGATAGAGACATACAAGATGATCAGAGGATTAGATAGGGTGGACAGTGGGAGCCTTTTTCCTCGGATGGTGATGGCTAGCACGAGGGGACATAGCTTTAAATTGAGGGGTGATAGATATAGGACAGATGTCAGAGGTAGGTTCTTTACTCAGAGAGTAGTAAGGGCGTGGAATGCCCTGCCTGCAAAAATAGTAGACTCACCAACTTTAAGGGCATTTAAATGGTCATTGGATAAACATATGGATGATAATGGAATAGTTTAGGTTAGATGGGCTTCAGATTGGTTTCACAGGTTGGCGCAACATCGAAGGCCGAAGGGCCTTTACTGTGCTGTAACGTTCTATGTTCTATGTTCTATGTTCTATGTTGGTTATCAACGAGCCCCTCTTTGATGCTCTACTTGTTACTGCACCCCAAATACCAATTCACACTTCCATTAGTTTCATAAGAAATGTCATGATACATGACTGTATCATGAATGTGCACTGAGTAAAAAAGGAGGGTGGGGAATGGTGTTGAATGGTGGGAGTGGGCCAAATGATGTTCTCTTACTCAAATCACTGATGAATCTTCAAGTTATCAGGGCATCTCTGACATCCTAGGCTTCAATGACTGCTACTGGCTTGATGACGGTTGGCCAATCACAATCTTCTTCCTCTTCTTTTATGTTCTCTTCATCAGAAGATATTTGATGAGCAATGTTGTGCAGGTTGCAGAACACTCCTATCATTCAAGATATCATCACTGCTGAGTACTATCCAAAGTGGACCTCCAGATGTAGGGGCATCTGAAATGCATCTTCAACATTCCAATGGCTTTCTCATTGATGGTCACGCAACTCTCATTGTAGTTCCTGTACTGGGATTCTTCACAGACATCAGTCATTTTTAAAGGGGGTATTTCTTGTCTCTTACAGCCCAGTCCTTAAATCTGCTTCCTGTGATGAAGAGGTCGAATTCCCAGCGTATCTAACACAAACCTACAATCCACATTTTCTTATACCAGTTTTGTGGATGGAACAGAATCCCTTTGGGTTAACCACTGGTTGATTGGATTTCGCTTGGGTTGCCACATGAATGCTTTTGATGGTACACTGTAAGTAGTCAGCCAGAGAATCTGGGTGTATACACTTTCTGGCTATTATTGGCACGGGGAAAGCTGACATAAGTCAACAATCTGCCAAATAAAGCTTCTGCGACCTATCTTCAACATTTATGTGCAGCTGTCTGAGAGATCCTCAATAATTATTCATTGGTTCACTAACAGAAGCTGGAGGCAAATAAATTGAGGTAAGTGGTGACCTTTAGAGGAACAGACATTGCATGGTCACCAGAACCAGCAGGAAATTTCTGGTTCCTTCTTGGGTAGTCCTTGGTGATGGAGGATGATTTCCTTCTTCCCCAGACCCATGGTTTCAAAAATGGCTCATAAGTCCACTGCACAATCTTCGCACTCTACAACATGTGCAGCAGGTGGGACTTGGAGGTCTGCTCAAGGGTCTGAAGGTTTGTGTGCTATATAAGTTGCCTCAACTTCTCAACATCCTTTCCTGACAAATGGATGATGTGTGTTCAGTGCCTTCCTGAAAGAAGCTTCTTCATTTTGGTCAGTCAGAAGGCAGGGGGTCCCATCTGTCAGCCTGGATGTTTCACCTCTTTGGGGATGCTTTGAGAACATGACTAAGTGTATATACACAAAGGCTGCAGCTGCATAGCAATTTGAGCTTCTGAAAGCATTGCCCTTCAGATTCATTAAGGAAGCTGAGTTTCCATTAGGAAACCTCTCATGTCGGTAGAGTCTCTGACTACAGTATTTCTATTGTATTTATTTTCTATTTTCTATTTATTTTCTATTGTATTTCTATTCTATTGTATTCTATTCTATTCTACTTTCTATTTCTATTCTACATGCCCTCTTTGTACTCTTCGCCATTTTGTTCTTCAGATCTGTATCGTATGTCTGCAGATCCCACCATGGCAAAGCATGGATGGTGATTATTTTCCTCATGTGGGGTCCAATTAAAGGTATCTATTGAAGGCACACTGATGTTATCCATTTAAAATGCTTCAAAATTTCTACAAAGTTTTTTGAATGCACAAAAATGCTTCATAAAATGCTTGCCAAAAGCAACCGAAATAGAAGAGTTGTAGCACTGAAACATTACATTCATATTGGACAGACAGAGCTCTTAAAGGCCCAGATCGGCCATCACTCAATCTCGTCTTCTTTTCACTAACCAGTTTCCTGTGTCTGAAGAAACCAGTGCAGGAGGCATTAAATGCAAATGCCTGTTGAAAGCATTAAAAAAAAAGCCAACAGATTTGTCATATCCTTAGATCAGATGCTCAAGGGATTAGTTCAGTTCTGAACAAATAGTTCTTACCAGATGTGCTCCTGTTGAACTTGGAAATAGACAGGTTGGACGTGGGTTACAATTGTGCTTGTAATTGCTATTTTTACTTCTCACTTTTATCGCAGCCCATCCATTGTTGGGCTACACATAACCCACACTCTGTATTTGAAATGTTATATTTTTAAATAACCAGCCTCTGTGTTTTACTGACAACTAGACTTGGGCAAATAAAAACTACGTACCATATTTATTATACAGTGACTGCTTTTTATGGCTTGCCTGTGTTTTTCAAATCGTTAAAATATCCGGAACCATTTCAAGCAGGAAATCATGAGATAGCATTCACACTTCTTTCCAGTTATCTTAAATGTTGCATTCAATCGTTCCTGGCTGCAAAGTCCTAAAGATTTCTTTTTCAAATTCAGCATGGTGTAAATGTGTGCCCATCACTTGTATTTGCTATACAGCTCTTTTTAGCCTGTAGTCATAAACGCCAACACGCAAAACCAGGGAAAGCTGAAAAAAAGTCTGGAAACTCATGAATGATACAGGAAAATAATTAATTACAGTGGGACATGAATATGGCAATAATTAAAATGAAAATTTAACATTCCATGCACTGAATACTGGAGGAATGAACCACTGAACAGAAAAATCAGTTTTTGCCTTGATAGATTTCAAAATACTTAGCAGGCTAAGGAAACAACAATGTATACATTCTTTTACCTAGGGAGCTCTGAGATTACCCAATCCAAAAAATTTATAGTTGTGCTCCCTTTGGTGCAATTTTCTTCATTTTAGCATGCTGTTGTTCAGTATTTGCAGCCAAAACACAATTTAATCTGGAATTATAAACATAAGTAAATGTTTGTGTGTTTATGATCATGAAAAATCAAGGGTCAATTGTGAGTTGTAATTACAGTATATCTACTGTAGTTTGGATAATGTAAAAATTAAGCTGCAAATTTGACCTCTAAAGGTACAAGCATCACAATAACACAGTAACACACAAGGATGCATGTGCACGAATTTAATAATGCATTAATAAAGGCATAAAGACTCAATGTCAGACACTACTGTACTAATGGAAATAATAAAATGTTTCTAATGTAGAAACTATTAATATACATGACTATTATTGCTGCTTATGTATAAAATACTCAAGGGAATTCTGCAAGAGGGAATAGGATGCACAGGGTCACAGAACTGATACAGTTCAGGATGGAGGGTAAGCGTATTGCAATGGTGCCTTCCATGGGTGATTTAGGGCTGGGGGAATGGAGAAAGGCTTAGTATTCATGCAGTCCTTAAATGCTCCTTTTGTGTCTTTGCATCAGAACTGGTCGTGCATTCATTGGAATAAGGTCCAAAGTCAAAGTACCAAGATGAGTTACTGCAATTAGCCTTGTCTGAGTGCATAATGTCCCACTGTATGGAGGAATATGTAAAACTGTCACTTGTACCTGATGCAAATACTGCCTGCTCACATTGATAAGGAGCTGTTTTGATCCTTCTGCCACCCAAATAGGTTCACTGCAAAGATAACTGTTGGATCTAGCTATGGGAGGGATTATCAATGCTGTTGCTGTGTTCAAACAAAGGTGCAGAGGAATGAAGAGGTGCAAGTGCCCCAGCAAGCCCATGAACAGAAGCAACCTTCAGCAATGTCAAACAGTCTCTACATGAAGAGATTGCAGCTTAAAGGGCCGTCAGGATGTGCAGGAAGCACAGGAGGGTCAGAGTCAAGTTACAAGTGATGACTGATCATCACTTCGACTTCTTAGAAGTTTGCATCATGTACATCAGGAGCTGTCATGATGCCTATATCCTTGTGAATTCGCCTCTTCCTCCCACGTTTGAGGCTTCAGATGTCTTACAAAGATGGTCACTGGGAGAACAAGGCTACCATCTGCAATTATGGATGATGACTCTGTTACGCAGCCTCCTGACTGAGGTGGAGTTTGGATACATTGCACCTCTTCCATGATCTGAGCACCTGTCCACATGCACAGTGTCTTTGCAGCAGCCTTTCAATCGTAGCTGCTGGTGCATCCTGCAATGCACGGCTTCACTTCCTAAGCATCCTGCAACTGAATTGGAAAAGATGGCATGAAAATCATGAAGGTTTGGTAAATATTGGATGCTAGTGTCCTTGGACAAGGCGTGTCAGCAGCTGGTGCTCATGGAGATGGTGTTTTGTGCTGAGCAACAGAGGCTTTTTACAGCCAGAGGCAAGCTGAACTCTGGCCTCTTTCCTCCATGCTGAGAATTCTTGAACTTGGGTTTGCTCATGGCAGATTGTAGAATAAGAAGCTGTATATTAATGAGGCAAAATGCACAGTTAATAAGGCTGTTAACAAACAATAATCCTCCCTAATTGGCAACTCACTAGTACTTAGCAAAAATCTTATCTCTATGCCTGGAACTTAGTTGAAAGATACAGTGGTTTACACATGCTGTTGAGATAGACCTCTTTGAACTTCAGTCCTGATTTCATCACATTTCTTGACCCTAGCACAAGCTGCTCAAACCTTCATAAGTTTTTCTTTCATAGTCTGTCTCTGGGACAGGACCAAAGGTTTTCATTGTTTATTGTGTGTTTACAAAAACAAGGCTTCTTTCTTTGATTCTGCTGTCTCTTTATGAATTCTTATCGTTCACTTCAGTTATCTTACAGATGTTTGGCTACACTCTAATATCAAAGCCTTCCAGATCCTGAGCATTTCTGAAGAGTGTTTTCATTTTGCTACTTGGCATTTATCAAATTGCTGCATTAAATGCATTTCGTTTCTACTTAGCCCTATTAATTAACAGTTTGATGTTTTTCAGCAAATTGGTCACTTCCTTTGCACAAGTATTTTAATTATGTTTTAAGAACAGGATATTCCACAGTCAACCCTCTTCCAATGTAGTACTACATGTGGACCAACTGATTTATTTCTTAGGCACAGTTGTTTATTATGGTTCTTGATTTGGGGATTTGTTGAACTATCGTTTTGATCTTCAATATCTTTTGTCTTACAAGTCCGGCCCAGTAGCTCAGTGGTAGAGTCTCTATCTTTGGATCAGGAAGCCTGAGTACAAGTCCCGGTCCCATCTGCTTTAGAGCTGTGTAACAACACCTCTGAATGGGTTGATTATAAAATATTTACAATTGAACAGTTAAGGGCTCTCGTGGCACAGTAATAGTGTCCCTACCTTTTGGGCCAGAAGGTCTAAATTCAAGACCCACCTGCTCTAGAGATATCTCATAACCTGTCTGTTAGATCTCATATTTTCCAATGAGAGTCCGAGTCTGGTGGTAGGTGTCAGGTAGCCTTAATTGTGATTTACAGCTCGGTTACAGCACACAGCAAAAAGGCATACACAAAGCTTCTGAATGTCATAACTTATACACTTCAAGCTGATAGTGCACGTGCCCCCACCCTTTTGATTACTACTGGTCATCGGCTCTGGGTTATCCCTCTGCAATTGGCTCTCAGGTACAGCATCTTAACATTTGCCAGCTGCACCGGGTTAACTGCCAATTGATTAGATATTTGCTGATTACTTCAAGACATTTTAAATTCCTTGTTAAAGGGAATACAAAAGAATATTGATTTTAATCAGTTCCAACAAAGTTATGTGGTTACATCTAATGTTAGAACTCTTTGGCTAACAAGTTGTGTCTTAATGTGTTCATTCAATCCACATTCTAATATCTGCTAATCTGTGTGTTCATTCCTCCCTGCAATGATTACTTGTTTGAATCTTTTCCTCTAATGCTTTTGGTGATTCTTTTGTATATATGTGGATCTATAACTACTTCAGAATCTATATCTATGATTATCTGAACGATCTAAACTAAAAACCAACTGTTTATATTGTAACAGATTGATTAAATAATTGAAGAGAAACAACTAATTAGTTGAAGTGTTCTCATCTACGTAAGCAATTGCGGATGCACATTCTACATAGTTTAAGTGACCTTGAGTCTTACAGAGCTGCTACTGTCCTACTTGCCGAAAGTACATTAGGCAAATATTTTCCCCAAGCGCTCCAACTAACAGCCATTTTGTGCCACTCAGTCATGGGCAGCCCTAACAATACCCAGTTTGATTCCTCCTTAAGTGAATCACAGGCTAACAAAATCAAACAATATACAACGAGAATTACTATAATGGATAACACTATACCCTGCACCAGTGATGTTCCCAAGGATCCTAACCAGCCCGTTGCCCAAGTGGGAGATGGGGGTTGTTTTAGTTTATCCATCTCTTCTCAGATATGTGCTGCTTAATCGGTGATCCCTTCAGAATTGTCTGAGATATAAGTACTGCCTTCGGCCCCAATTAGGGCACAAGCGCCTCCCTTTTCAGAAGCCATTGATTCCCACAACTCTCGGGGGTCAGTCACGCGCACCCAGTACACTCCTGTTCTTGCTGAGGACTGCCATGCCACTCTCGCCGGATCCTCTAAGCAGGTGTTCTGGTGAATTACCCGATCTGCCATTTTGGATGCATTAAAAAGGGATGGGTATCAAGGGGGTGCCCTCTTTTGAGTGGATGGGTATGTGGGTACACACCCAGAAACTGGAAACATTAGCTCACTTGGCATAGATGTAGGACACATACAAAAAGATGTTTTACATGTAATTCTCTTTTTCCTTCATCTCCAACAGGGAGTTGGCAAGGTAATTGTAAGCAAACAACCAAAATACACACAGTTTGTAATATAATCAATTTTACCATTTTGGGATAAATATGACAGCTCTCGTCAAGCTTCAAGTGCAGTCACTGGTTGCTTGTTAACATTATACATGGACTCAAAATTCCTCAGTTCTCTTCATCTGTACCCATCTTGAGGATACTTCAATATTTTTCCTTCTTTGCCAATTTTATGAATGATTGTATCATTGAGTGGTAACTACCTCCAAATACAAATACCCCCTCAGGGCTGAAATATACGTAGTCTCAAATAATACAGCTCGAACAAATTACAGTGTGTTCAAGAGACAACAAGGTGCAGGGCTGGATGAACACAGCAGGCCAAGCAGCATCATAGGAGCAGAGAGGCTGACGTTTCGGGCCTAGACCCTTCATCAGAAAAGGGGGAGGGGAAGGGGGTTCTGAAATAAATAGGGAGAGAGTGGGAGGTGGATAGAAGATGGATAGAGGAGAGGATAGGTGGAGAGGAAACAAACAGGTCGAAGAGGCGGGGATGGGGCCAGTAAAGGTGAGTGTAGGTGGGGAGTTAGGGAGGGGATTGGTCAGTCCAGGGAGGACGGACAGGTCAAGGGGGCGGGATGAGGTTAGTCGGTAGGAAATGGAGGTGCGGCTTGAGGTGGGAGGAGGGGATAGGTGGGAGGAAGAACAGGTTAGGGAGGCAGGGACGAGCTGGACTGGTTTTGGGATGCGGTAGGGGGAGGGGAGATTTTGAAACTTGTGAAATCCACATTGATACCATTGGGCTGCAGGGTTACCAAGCGGAATATGAGTTGCTGTTCCTGCAACCTTCGGGTGGCATCGTTGTGGCACTGCAGGAGGCCCAGGATGGACATGTCGTCTGAGGAATGGTGTGTTCATCCGGCTTTACCTTCCTCTTATGTTTCCCCTCTCTTTTTCCGAGGTATCTGTATGTCATCATTTTGGGCCCTTTTACTCCAGCTCACTATCACTGTGTTAAAGTCAGTTTCTTTATGGATTCTTTGTCAGTGTCTTATCATTTACGATATGCTTTTGTTCTCTTCCAAGCCACACTAATCCATTTGTCAAATAGGTGTACATGGCTGACACCTGTTCTTCAGTGCAACTTTTTTAAAAAACCATGTATTCCCTCATGTTTGTTACCTCTGAGGTAACAATCACTTTTGCACACTTACATCAGTACCCCAAGATCATGTCATGCATTCTTGACTCTTGTATGATCTTATCAAAAGATCTATGAGATTTTACTTACCTCTCCACGTATAGTCCTGATGCCTCGGATTGTGGCTCGATCACCAAATTCTTTCAAGGAAAGTCAAGAACCCAAACATCACCAAGAGAAAGCCATCAGTTAGTACTCTTATCTAAACTTCCTTTTCACTAAAATGCATGTTGCCCTTTCAACCCATTGTTCTAATTTGTTTTTCTTCTGCCACTACTCTCCATCCCTAATTACTTCATCTCATCCAATTTTGCAATTTAACTATTACCACCTATCTAATTCCAGAGCAATGGAGAGATTTGTAATCCATGGAACATCATCTTATAATAATATTTTAAAAAAGAAGTCCAACATTTCTTTTGTATTCAGAAAAAAAACGACATACTTTGTTCATTCTAAGATGACCCACTGTTTTTTCAAGTTACTTGATAACTCATTCTAGATATTTGGTATATCTCTATGCAAATTTGTCCAAATTCAAAATTCTTTTTACTTCCTTGAAGTCACTAACAATTTTTAATGCATTGAAACAAAGGATACTCAATACATTTAATGTTTTCACAGTAGTTCTCCAACTACTGAGATGTGTTGTTAACGAATGGTTTGATGGGTTAAGGATGCCTCATCCATCACTGTATCGAGACACTGAAAGTCTGCAGATTGGCAATGAATTTCTGAACCTTCAGTGAACGCCTTCAGGATCTTTCAGGCACTGAAAACAAAACAATCCATTCCACTTCTAGCAGAATGGGTTAATTAATCGTGATTTACTGCAGGTTTAAAGTGTGAGGTGAAAACTCCTGGATGTAATTACGTTAACCATGTCTCTTCCTCCTGTACAGAAATAAGTGTGCTATAATTAGCAAAGGAAAAGTCCACCTCCTTTGTTAGAATGTACCCTTTTTTTTGAATAAAGACTCCTTGATATCAGTTTCCGCAGATTTTAGAACATAATTTTGTTCAAAGAGAGTTGCATTTCCAAAATTCCAATTTCTCTATTACTTGGATACTTTCACACCAAAAGTATATTTACAATGAGCAAATCTTATCATCTGGAATTAAAGATTCACTCACATGCTAAAACAATATTTGGAAGCTCACTCTGGCCAGAAAATGGAATTCCCAACATGGTAATTTCCAATTCCTGGAGGTAAATTTTTACCAAGCTTTATGACTCAAATTTTTAAATCAATATTTCATTGCAAACGTTTGCTTTACACATCCATTGATAGTTCCTTAAAAGGACATTACATTAACCAAATGTGTTCCACACTGATACAGGCACACAGCGCAATTTCAATTCACCATAAATTCCCAAAATACAAACTAAATTCAAAGCATTCCCAGATCTTGTGCTCCAGGGAACAAAAACACAAATATTGCATGAGACAACATTTAACAACTAACGAACAGATACATTCAAACCAGACCACAAAGAGTTAACACTTAGTTTAGGGGACATAGCATCAAAAGCTGGTCTCTCTCTCTCACACACACACACACACACACACACACAGTCATCAATACTGACAGTATTTGGACCCAATCTATCTGTGTAGTTGTAAATCCTCCTTAGCCATTAAAGTTGTTCTCAGGAGTTTAAGCCTCCCCTTTTTGGGGTAGTTCTTGAAGCCATTTGTCCACCACCCTCGGCAGAGCGGGTTCATGTCTGTGCCAGCTGGCCCATTTGTATTTGTATTCAATCCTCCCCTCTTTTTCAGTGTTGTGCTGGGACAGGGTTTTGCATTGCTCAGTCTGTAAGGGGGCTAAATGGGATCCCTCGTTGTTGCCGGAGTCAGTAAAGGATTCGCCTCTGTTTCCTTTTTGTATTTCATTTTCTGATTGGCTTAGCAAGGGATAGAGTGGTCTTCTACTGGGCTCCAGGATTGTGGAGTTAGGTGGGGTTGGTTAGGAATCTAGATTGTTTTGTAGGGATGCTTTCTCCCATTCTTCCTGCCACTTTTTGGTGGAATTTCAAATCCTCACAGATATTCTTTAATTGGCTTTTCAGCTCTGTTTGTTCCGTGTCATGACTTGACTTCTGTATTATCTCATTCTGTTGCTGGATCTGTCCCATCAGGATGAGGGACCGCCTTACTCGTTCTTTCTCTTTCATTCGTGTGGTGTTTCCGCAGACCCTTTTAATATCATCCAGGGACCAGTGTCCTATGGAGGTATCATACTTATGCCTGATTTCCACAGAGGTTTTAGGTAGATTGAATTGTTGTTCTATATCTTCCTTCAAGTTCTGTAAAATCTCATCTTCCGATAGATCAGGTGGGCCCTTGTGGGAAGTTTTGTTTCTCTTCCCCTGCTATTATTTCTTATGACTATCAGTTTCAATGGGTCTTGAGTCATGGGTTAGTCGCACAGCCGAGGGGCAGAGATACTATTTTCCCTGCTGGAGTTGGGTGGTTGGGGGTGGGGGGTGGCGTGGGGAGGGGGGGGGGCAGAAGTACTATTTTCTCTGCTGAGTTAGATATCCGTTTAGAGGACCTCAAGCTGTATACCACTTGGAGAATTTCGAGATCGCGTGAAGGGGAGACTGAATGTAGACAACCGATCAAGGACTCTATTAAAAGAGGAATCCTTACCTCTGTGGGTGCCGAGGTGAATCTCCAGTCTACAGAGGGGTCTGGGTGCCTTCAGTGATAATGCCTGACTGTGCCAAATCGTTAGATGTCATACTTTCCAATGAGAGACTGAGAGACCAGTAACCTTAATTGTGATTTACAGCTCAGTTACAGCACACAACATAAAGGCGCACACAAAGCTTCTGAATGTCATAACTTATATACCTCAAGCTTACAGCGCACATGCCCCCTTTTGATTACTATTGGTCAGTAGCACTGGATTATCCCTCTGTAATTGCCAGCTGCACCGTGTTAACTGCCAATTAATTAGATATTTGCCTATTATTTCAGGTTCTTTTAAATTTGTCATTACACGGAGTACAAAAAAGATCGATTTTTGATCTCCAACAAAGTTATGTGATTATACCTAATGTTAGAATTCTTTGGCTAACAAGTTGTGTCTTAATGTGTTCATTCAATCCACATTCCAATGCCTGCTAATCTCTGTGTTCATTCCTCTGTGGAATGAGAAAGGGGGACACTTTTGACACCTGAAACTGGTTTGAATCTTTTCCTCTAATGCTTTTGGTGATTATTTTTGTGTATATGTGGATCTATAACTACTTCAGAATCTATATCTATGACTATCTGAAGGATATTAACTAACACCTACTGTTGATACTATAACAGATTGACCAAATAATTCAAGAAAAACAACTAATTAGTGTGAAATGTTGTTATCTATGTCAGTAATTGCAGCTGCACATTCTACCTAATTTAAGTAACGTTGAGTCTTACAGAGCTGCTATTGTTCTACTTGCAGAAACTACGTTAGGCAAATATTTTCCCCAAGCGCTCTAACTACTGTCAGCCATTTTCTGCTGCATTAGTCATGGGCAGCTGTTGGCCATTTTGTGCCATTCAATCATGCGCAGCCCTAACACTGAACAGGTTGATAAAAAATACCCACATTGAACATTTCCCCAGACTGCGCAATTGGGAGAACAGGCTGCAAATACCTTTAAACAAAAAGACTGTCTGAAACGTGCTACAACAATGTGGCAAGTGACCGAAAGACCCAGAACAAGAGAATATAACCTTAAATTAAAGCTAAGTATTGATGTCAGGAATTCCTTCTTAATTCACTGAAAGGCTGGTGAAAACCTGGTACTTTGTCACTCAAAATAACTGCTGTAGATAGGACAAAGGAAATCTCAAAATGAAGTTTGTTACATTTGTTTTGATGGTAAAGACAATAATAACCATATAAAGAAGGTGGGTTGATGTAGTTGAAATACAGATCAGCCACAATTCATTTTAATAATAGAACACGTTTGCTTATAGTCTTAGTGACAGGATTTTATTGGATATTGCGGTCATTGCACCCTCACCTGGATTGCTTCCCCAGAGTAATTTCATAACAGAAGCAACATTAATTGCCCTAAGGCACGATATGTGCACCTTTCTCAAGAGGAACTCAAGCCTTGGTGAGCTGTTGGCCAACTGGATGTTCAGCAATTCTATGGGCCAGCAGTGGCCATTGCTAGGGACACCATGCTCAGGAGCCCAGGTAAGTCTGGGCTCAGTTTGAGAGGTGGATTCAAGAGGACGGGGGCAGAATTAAAGGGAAGGGTGATTGATCTTTGGGATAATATCTCTGAAGTACCCAGGGGGCCTGTAGAATGGGTCACTCTCCCCCCTCCCACCGAACCGAAACAACACCATCCTGTGCAACTAAAGCTGCCAGGCTTCCCACGTGGCCTATACTTCCTTTGCCACAGGTAAAAGACCATGGGACTTGTGGGGGTTAGGACAAGGCCCTTCACTGGCCATTCACAGGCTCTGATAGGCCCAAGGGAAGGTGAACATCCATGATGTGTCTCCTGTCCCCTATAAAGTTCAAGACAATTTGGGAATAGGAAGGTTGATGGACCAGCTGCTTGATTTCACCTGTCACCCTGCCTTCAAACCCACTGATAGGGGAGAATAGAATCCAGCACTATGTTCCTGTTACTTCTATCTTAGCTGTGCTTCCACCAGGCTCCAAATGAGGAGGCTGCAGATTTGGTTTGCAGTAGTGTCCTCCATTAGACTGGCTGCTCTGAACAGGGCATCTCCAGACTGATGGAGTAGGGTCTTGCACATGTTACATATAACCTAATAGATTCCATCTCCCCTCATCCCACTTGCGTCTGATTTACAAGTTGCACATGATGTAAGTTAACATCAGATATGTTACTTTCTTACCCACACTGGTCATTCTATCTTCTCATTTTGTAACTGACATGAATGTGTGTATTTGAACTCTTGAATACATTGGAGTGTCTTAGAGTCAGAACATTATTATTATTTTACTTAAAGCCAATAAATACTGTTCTATTTTTGTTTTAAAAACAATGTAAATGTGTTTGTGTTTCATTGTCATGGTCTGTAAACAGTTAAACATTTAACAAGTCAGCCGGAAAATTGTTTTTAATGAAACCTGTTGCAGTCACACAAGAGTTAGAGAAAGAAGGAGCTATACCACCTCTCTGCACCTCATCATAAGAATTAGGAACAGTTTCTATCAACATTACCCCTTTCCCTCTGGACCCCATAGGACATTATGAATAACTTTTGACTAAAAGAGCTAAACCACACTGGTTTGCTAATCCATCAATTGAGTAGTATGCATGAGTCATATCTGGAATTTTCATGGCTAGGTCCCTGCCTGCTTAGTGGAGGGTTCAGTGGAAAATCTAGCTCCATCATATGTTTTGGAGTTTTTTTCGGCATTAAGCTAGAGGTTCAAATGGAAATTCTACTGCCCACAAGTACTGACTCGTGACACATGCTGCAATAACCGAAACATAAATCCCCAGTCTACCTGACTAACCAAATCAGCGTAGCACATCTTTTGTGCTGAAATTTGTATATGACATGCTCGAGTAAATCCATCCCACTGAATGGTAGAAACAGGAGACTGTGTTGGTTTTGAGGCTGTGATCAGATTCATGTCCCCATTGGCTAGTTCATGCATCAGTGTTCAATAAACATTTGGCACTGCCACAGTTTTCAAAATAACCAGTTTTATAGCAATAAAGCTACAAATATGTTACAGGATTGGAGCAAGCTGGCCAACCTGACCAGAATGAAGTTATTTGCCCTAATGGAT